TGGTCTACCAGTCGACGGTTTTTCAAGTCGACCAGCAAGTCAAAATGTGCTAGAAAATCGGCTCCGATGATGGGCTTTGCTACGTCGGCGATGACGAAATCCCACGTAAAACCGCGTCGGAGGCCGAGATTTAACGTGAGAGCTTTGGAACCGTACGTATGAATTGCGGTTCCGTTTGCTGCAGCCAGCTCGTACGTGGATCTTGTGCGTGGCCCACGAAGATATTTGCGGGGGTACACGCAAAGATCGGCACCGGTGTCTACGAGAAAGTCTATTTTGGTGTCGAGGTCCATGACGTATAGGCGGCGCGTCGTTCCGAGCTCCCCTTCAGCCGCCATTACTGGGGAGTCGACGCGTTTCCCGTCCTTCGGAAATTGCACGGTGGTTGGCATTTCTTTGCAGCTTGTCCGAATCTGCAGTGGTACCAACATGGACCTGAGGCAGATCTTCTTCGTTGCCCAGAACGTGATCGGGATCGTGGCCTTGGCCGGAATTTGTCCCTGCCGCCTTCTCTTAATTCTTTTAATTTCAGTTCTGCGACTTCGTTCTGCACGGCTGCTATCTGCTCGAGCAGCAAACGGTGTAGGGCGTTTGCGTCGGTAGCAGGAATCACCTCGGAGATTTTTGCGGTCGGGGCTTTGGTTGCCTCCATAATGGTGTCCGCAATCTCTGCCAGCTGGTCGAGAGTGTCGTTGGTTCTCGACACAAGGTGTGGCTGTATGTGCGCAGGGAAGTCTGCTGAGCCAGATGGTGCGTAACACGCCATCGCCTACCACGGTGCCGGCGAGGTTCCGGAGATGCCTCAGAATTGCGAGGGCTTCCGGTCGCCGATTTCCTCGTGCTCGAGGAGTTGCCTTGTCTTGTGCTCCTGCGACAGGCTGAGCCTCTTAATCAGCTCTGCTTTCAACGTGCCGTAGGCGTTTTCGGCAGGCGGGTTCATGATGATGTCCCGCACCTCGAGAGTGTGACGTGGTCCGATAGCTGTCAGAGCGTATCCAAATTTTGTTGCATCCTGGGTGATGCCGGCGGCTTGGAAGCTACGGTCGATGATGTTAAACCATAGCTCCGGGTCAGCCGGGGTGAACTCGGGCATTCGCAAGCCTACCCGGTTGACTTCACCCTGGAGGAACACGGCTTGTGCCTCGATGCCGGAGGTGGAAGCCGTTGGCGTCGTCATGGCTGCAATTTCTATCAGCCGTTCGTCGGAAATCTTGTGCGTTGACGCGACGGAAATCTTCTTCACGGTCACTACGGAAATCTTCTGCGCGACGGAAATCTTCTGCGTGGACGCGACGGAAATCTTCTGCGATGCGGGTTTCTGGATGTCGCGGCGGAGATCTTCTGTGTAGTCGCGGTGGAGATCTTCTGCGTAGTTGCGGAGAGAACTTCTTGCGTTGGCGAGACGGAAATCTTCGATGTTGGCGCGATTGCGTCCTGCCTGATCACGTCGGGGTCACCACTTTGTGGACGTAAGTGGTAATGATGGATCAGGAGAAGGAGCGCAATGAAGGGTAATCCACAAATGACTCCGTATAGGTATAACAGCTTGGAATATATTTAGGATTATATACAAGGGTAGGAATGTCAGTGTATACTTGGTTGAGATGGATTGACTCCAGGGAGGAGATAGGAAGTAAGTCGGTGTGGCACCCGAAGGTGCCCGCGCCGAAAGGTGCGAAGAGCCTAGCGCCGGTGTCGCTTTATTCCTCCGTGGGGGAGCTCTCCTCTTCCTCA